GCCATGGAAGTAAGATCTAGGTGTCCTTTTTGTAACCCATTTAATTCCCTTTTATTAGAGAAAAAAGATAGACCACATTTAATGTTATTTTTGTTATTATCTTTTCCAATGATTTAGTCTGCCTTTGCTGCTTATCTTAAGACCAATATAATATTGGATAACTCATTTAATTCCCTTATTAATCGATATCCCTGTCGTCCTATTATTCCTGCAACAATATTAAATTATATATACGCTTAGTTTGTCCCTTCTCAAGTACAAATTAGTATATGCTTTTGTTGTTCTATTATACATATCCATATCCATGCTTAAATCCCATTATAATACAATACTTGTATATTTACCTACTCATATCAACCAAACTATAATCGATATTTAAACATTATTATATAAAAATCATGGATATATGAAAATAGATTCTATAATCTGACCTAATTAGGTATTCACCAACTACTTTATATATAATATATACACGCACATATACATGTGTGTATCTTCAGATGTCATGTGTGTTTTGTTTATTCTTGTCTAATGGAGTTTAGTACGTAGGTCTAATCATTGATTTGATGATTAATTTAATTAGCTTTCCAATTGGGGAAAAAGTACGGGTCATTAGAAAGCAACCCTTGACATAATATTTGCACTAAACTTATAAAATTATGCAGCATTATACATTAATCATAATAAATTAATGTGTCGGTCCTTGCAAAGGAATATTAAATAGCTGTTTTCTAATATATACGTATGGGTTTTATTATTATTTTTATTTTTCGTTTCGTGAAGTCACAAATCTATCTTTTCGTATCCTTGGTGGGGACAAGCTGAGCTTATGGCCTTAACTGCCATACCATGTGCACCACTTAATTAGATTTTAGTATTTACGAAAATTCATATTATTTATTTGATTTCATTAGACGCATATGAAATATTGATGGCGTAGGCTTCTCTAGGTGTAAAAAGTAAAACAATACAGTCCATGTTCCATTCGATTTTATTCGAATTCTTGGACCGACTACGTTGAAAACAAAAAAAAAAATTAAAAATAAGTGGTCTAAGTAGCTACTTATGGTCATCATTCACACTTGCCACCTAAGGGTTGTTTTTAACTTTTAAGATTAAATACGATGGTTAATTATAACATGAATGTCATATTTATAAATTATAAGAAATCGTCGTGGGTTTGAACTTTTTTATGTATATATAGTAAGAGTGTATCATTACATTTTTATTGGATCCACAGTTTAAATGTGGTGACGTATATAATATATAGTAAGGTTGAGTTCGCTTTTCTTTGGCACCTAACCATAATATTTGATTTAAATCAATTTATTAATATATTTTTATTTTTCTCCTTTGATTTTCTTGCAAAATTAGGTGCCACTGTTTGAACAATAGCGAAACCCTAGTTTTATTTAATTAATAAAGTATGACACCAAATCAAAATGGGGTAATAATTGCGAGCTAATACTTATCAAATAAGTGAAACTCCATTCAACTCATTGTCTGATATATAAAGATCTAATCAATATATATAATTGGGTTTAATTTAATTAGATTCGGACATAATTTATTTGGATAATGTTCGTTCTCCTTATTAAGTGCAAATATGTTTGAATTCACTCTAAAATTCGAAAATTTTATTAGGATCCCAAATTTAACCCTAGAAATAGTATGAGAGTGATGGGACATAAGTCAGACAAAAAAAAACTAGTCCACATTTCCAATTCAAGTTAAATAAAAAATGTAAAAGTTAGGTATACCATTTAATAGCTATTAAGCTAAATTTATGATATTGCACCCACTGGCCTTGTTAGGTCTATCGCATTGTTAATACTCAGCAACATAATTGTTACATATGCCGCAATAATAAAAAAAAAAAGACCATATATTAAATTTTTCTTTGAGCCTCGGAGTTATTACCAAAATATTTTAAATATGGAAAATACATTCGGATAGTTGCTTTGCTTCTTTGTGGTGTTGAACTTGAGACACGTAATGTTTAGGAATTAGAGATGGGCATTGCCTGTCATTACCCTAAATAAAATTCAATTGATTTTAACAGAATAACATTTGATTATATAAGAGTTGAATTCGATTTAAACTCGGTTGATAATAATTTCTTAAATAAATTTAAATCAATACAAATTTATTAAAAAATAGTTAAAAATTGAATAAATATAAAATATATTGTTAAAAATTGAGCTCTGAATAGAATATTAAATAAATAAAAAAAACTGGTATAAAAAATTAAAAATTGGAATACTCAGGTTAAGAATTATCTAACTAAAACAAATGTCCCTTTTGGAGAAATTAACCTTATATAAAAAAAAAGGAAAATTGGACAAAAAATATCGCTACTTTTTTTCTTTAAATTGCAATTATATATGATGTGGAATTGCATAAATACGAAGATGCTTATTTAAAGAAAGTCGAGATTTGGAGAATCAAAGACCAAATTTCGTGAATCTTTTGCCCACTCACTCTGCACACCCAAAAAAAAAATTGTATGCAACAAAAAAAAAAAGGTAACATGTGAACATTATCTTGATAACATCCCTATATAGTTGCAATTCCATCAGAGGACCACCGAATAATATATATATATATAATTAGTTTATTATGTAAAATTCGATTTAATTGTGCTCCCTTTGATCAAATGGTAATTTTTTTTTATTTACCATTACAAAAAAAAAAATGATATAACAAAAAAGAGAAAAGAGGAACAAAGATTAGCTCACTTTCATATGTGGTCCAGCTTGTTCTCTAGCCATTTATATCTTATTTTGTTATCATCTCAAGTGATTTTGAACCCGCAGTTATATATATTATGCTTTCGTTTAAAATAAAATAAAATAACATGTCCTATCCTTTCCTCCATCGCATATATGAAATTATACACGTTTAAATTACTCTCAAAATTACTCTTTTTTTTTTCGAGTATTCTAAACCAATAGTTTAAATTCTCAGATTCTCACAACAATAACTACAATTTTAAATTATAACTCCCACAGTTTATGTGCACTAAAATTGGCAATGAAATTGAAATAAATACTCTCCTAGTAAAAAAGTTATATTTTTCCCAAATCAAATAAACTTAAATAGGTTTCACCCATAACAAACTTCCTTTAATACGGTCTATCCTCTCCTATTTTCCTTGAAAATATTTGTACAAAAAAATCCATTTTAATATATATATATATATATATATATATATGGATATTTGATATATCATAAATATATGGGGTTTACATGTAGATTTTTAATTTTATTTTTCGGGGTCCATTGAAATCAATGAAGACAACTTAAATTAAAGTCTTTAAATATAATTCGTATCAATATTATTGTAACGTGCCAAAAGAATCTATCTACATTTTATATGCAACGCAACCACACAATCAAATACAAATAGTTTATGCATTTTTTTTCAATGAAAATGAAAAAAGTTTTTTTTTTATATAGAATTTGAAAATAGGAAACAATGTTCAAAACTAGAGGGGGCAGAGACAGAGAGGGACCTCAATTACATTTCCCGAATGATAGTAAACGGGCCTTTAACTTTAGGGTTCACATGCTCTTATTCCTCTCTTCCGCTGCACATGCAAGTGAAAGGCAGTCCCACTATGACTACAACTGCATCTATATTCATGAATCATGGTCAAGTGTGTTGTTGTTACCTTTTGGAATTATGTAATTTACGAAATAAACGTTTCGAATTTCGATTATACTTCACTTTGTTTTTTTTTCTTAGTTTTAATCTTTTGTAAAACTATGTCCGTTTTTATATCGTTTTTTATTAGGTTGTGAATTTTTATTTCAATTTAGTTATCATTTAAAAATATTTCTTTCTATAAAAAAATTAATTTATAAAATTATATTTTAAAATTGAATTCTATTAACCCTGTTATGATTTGCTTGGGCTGAAAGTTAATATGATTAATGGGCCCAATATCTTTACGTTGGGCCCAACAAGAAAATATAAAATGAAGAAAACCCTTTTTTTCCACGTAAAATTTTTCCGTCACTATTATCCACAATGGCAAATGGAGGAATTATTATAACTTTTTTTTTTGTTAAAAATTATTATAAGAACTTTGATATGCCGCGGGAATAAATTTGTACTGAGTTGATTACATGTATGAACTAGTAAGGCATTGCTCTTCTTAATGGTATGTTTTTAGGTTACATTATTAAAAAAATATAACGACATTTGGAATTCAAATAATTTATCTATTTTTGTTACCGCCGTTAGAATAACAAATTTCAAATTTTTTTTGTATAATGATGTATGATTTTTTATAGAAAAAAAAATATATACATGCTGTTGAGTTTGTATATTTTTTTTTTTATATATTATATGAAAAGAATTCCTAATTTAGTGAAATAGACATTATCGGCCCGATCAAAATACTAAACATGAACATCAAACATGCAGATGTACATGTTGACTTTTGTGTAATTTTTGTTTCATGTTTCATGAACAACATTATAAACAGTTTAATTTGTATCCTTTATATCTTATCTGTCTCCTTGTTATAGTATGTATTATATACGATGAGTACGTATAAACAATATAGTGATTGAATGAAATTGTAAGAAAGTATTTGACATACATTTGGTAGGATACTTCACGATGTTATGGATCGAATTGCGATGGTCTCATTATTGGATTATTGTAACGTAATCTAATAAAATATATTGTATTAAACAATGGATAATTATTGGTTTTAAAATAAAATAAACCGATGCATATCATACATAAAAACACACGATGCATGCCGACCATGCAAGCGTTAATTACTTTATCTAGATGCAAAGAAAATTGTTGATTTTATAAATAATCTTCGTTCTACGTTTAGTTCTAGTTAATTAATTAAAGGCTAATTACTTCATACTCGTATCTACGTGTGCATATAACATATGCATATGACACATGCATGAACCATGATATAACGGGGATAAAATTTTCCTAATTTTACATGAATGCTATTGGTTGGAATCTTCTAGCAACTAAAACATCATGAATAAAAACAAAAAGTCTTTAAGTTAATTATTATTAGCTTTAATTAATCACCGTTTAGATGCGGCACTCATCAAAGTTTTTTTTTCCTCCTAATTTTATTTTATCATAACAACCAACAAGGAGTAGATGCGTGGGCCTTCTAATTGGACACTGGAATTAACCTATCTGTGCGTACTTTTGCGGTTGAGAATTTCATCACCTGGAAAACGTATAACACATTTTTTTATAAAAAAAAATCTTATAATCTTTGAACATATACATGCCCAAGATATTAAGGTTTGATACATATACAGACAATATAACCTAGAAAACATTCTCAAACCCAATTAAAGACAAAAGAGAAACAATTTCGAACACAGAAACATGCCATCATCATCATCATCATCCATCACATTCAACTCAAAAGCCTCTAAGCCCCTCAAAGAAAGCCTTGAGAGATCAAACCGAAAACACAAAATCTTGCTTCCTCAGTTCTAATAAGTACTTCAAGAGTTTCATCACTATATATATATTTATGAACACACAACACACATACAAACACAAGAACGAGCAGCTATAGCTAGGATTTCTAGTTCCCGTTGGAACGAGGGGGCGGATTACACTCGGAAACAACCTCGCGGCGGTGGAAATTGCGGTGGCAGC